GAGAAGGATTAACGTGCGCCCAAGTTGTCTCCTCAGACATGCAGGAAGGAATTTCATGCTGGCTATTAGTGACTTAAATGTTATGTTTGCCAAGATTTAACCCATCTGTGGAGATAGCAGTTGGGGAGCCTAGGTTTTCCTTTTCTAGAAATAATGCCAAACAAGTGTTTGAAAGTGTTGAAATTACATCTTGACACTTAACCCCTCCACCACTGTCTGCTTTATATTTAATTTATAATACAACTATATATTTTCAGACCCAAACCCTAAATGAAACCATTTGTAATTATTTTGAAGTGCAGTTTTTCAATTGACCTGATCTAATTTGAGGTTTATAAATTCACCAGGCTTCTTGAGATTAAAGTGTTCTGTCTTCGCTTAAGTATGGAAACATTTTAAAGCCTCAAAAAATATCCCACAAAGGGGAAAATGTCTGCTGCTCTGCTCTCCTCACTGTCTGAGGAAATGAAGGACGGAGTCACAAGATTTAAAGCAAGTCACTTACCACACTTTACTAAGTTACAGTCCAACTATAGTATTTGACCATGTGCCTGTTTTTAGCACAGCAGTCACATTTCATTCGTGCAGCTTAAAACCATCTTCCCTGCTCAGTCACTTCAAAAAATGTGTTTCTTCTGCAGTGCTTACAGAAAGTGAATTTGTGTCCCTGTGCATGAGTTGCCAATGTAATTTATTCCAGCAACTTCCCTCCCCTCTCCCAGCAAAATAAGCAATACCATGCTCATGTCCCTGTGCGTGAGCTCTCCTCAGTCTGCTGCTCAGAGTGCAGGAGACATTATTTATGTTCATTAGAGCTTGGGATGAATTGCCAATGCAGAAGAAGCAATGACTAATCTGTGGCTTTTCTTCTGCACTCATTGCTGGGTCATTGGGGGAGAGTCCTTGTGCTGGCCTGATATTGTGAGTTACTGCTGTGCCCCAGGTTTGGTTAGGAGGGGTTATAATCTGCAGTATTAGGGCAGTGGGATGAGCTGCAGCCCATGGGCTGTCACTGCACCTCTTGTCCCCAAAGCCTCTGCCACCTTGCCATCTGGGATGTGAAGTTTTCAGGAGGAGACTGAAACACTCCTCAGCTCCAGCCTTCTGTGGCTCTTGATACATAGAAGTCTTTCCCAGCAGTCAGTGTTTTTACTTTGTGTCCCATATTTAAACCTAAAATCTGCAGAGCAACTCCCTTTGGCTTTCTGTGGTTTCTGAAGGGACAAATATTGCTCTAGGGAGGTCAACTCCAATCACTACTTGCTAGAGCCTTGCTTCCAAGCAGCTTGTTCCCACTTTGCACTGAGTGTACTATACGTGTTTAAGTCTCTTAATTTTAACTTGCAAGATGATTCTGGTGTCCTGGTCATTATAGTTGTTTGTGTTTTAGTGTATCTTTGCTTGGGGTTATTTTTCTTTTTGGTATTTAGGGTACATTATTTTACCCTTGTGAGATTCTGTTCTTTGCTGTGGATGTTCTGCCCTCAAGAGACATGGACCCAGAGTCAGCCTTAAACATTGTGCCAGCCTTCCATTTGGAAATGGATGGCTCCTTCCCTGTGCTTTTCAAACCCAAAAAAATTAGTTGGATTTGGAGACACAAGGGCACTCCCTGCCTCTTGGCCAAAAATATGGGAAAAGAATGGTAAACTTTACCCTCAGCCCACACTAGATTTGTGGTCTATATTCTTATGACACGAATGTGACCACAACCCCTAGGTCTGATATTTCCTAGCTGTTTGTCATATTTCTTCTTTGTGCCTTGCCTTAAATCTCAGTGTAGCTCATCAGATGCATTCAGCTCTACCTGTTGATAATAGAGCAGGCTTGCAACAACAGCTGGAGAGAAAAGAAAAAAAATAGACCTGTTAGGCATTTTTTTTCTCCTGTTTGGCTTTTGGAGGTCTGAAAGCTCCAGGAGGTGCTAGGAGAGTTAGACTAATTGTGAAAGAGGGCAAAATCAAGAAGCCAAACTTACAATCCTACAAGGATGGTGTTCCCATAATGTGCAGAAATACATTTGTGCAGGTTGTTAGCTGCTGGGGCAGCACTTAGGCATGTGGGATAACCTGATTAGAGAATCAAAGAAAACCCTGGTAGCTTCACAGGCCAAATCCTGTCTTACAGCAACCTGATGTCAAATGGGTGTGAATCAAGGAAGCTTTCCCTTGGGCATCATCTGGTAGCACTTTGAAGGGGAGGGTATGAGCCAGCCAGGGTTCTAGCAAGGAGAGAGGCTTAAGCAAATACACTCCCAGACAGGGAGTGAACTGGAGTCTGAAACTAATGACTTTGTTTTTCCTTACTGGTACAGACTTGGAAGGATGAAAAGAATAAATTTCTCAGATCTGATTTTCAGGTTGTATAGAAAGCTTAATCAGGAGTTGGTTAATTTATAATGCTTGTCTTACTGAGCTGTGAGAATGTCAAACTGTGACTGAGCTGAGATTTGGGAACAGAAGACGAGTGTTTTCAGAAGGTATGATCCAGCAGAGTGATTCCCTGCTGTCCTGGTCAGCGCAAGGTTTGCATCAAAATCAGCATTAACACGGAATGTCAGACAGAATGGTTGTACTGATCCTTTGTGGGCTTAAACTGTGTGTGCCCGAAATGCGTCAGCAGGAGCTACATCAGACCCGTGGTGACAGCAGTGCCAGGCCACGCTGTTTGGTGGTGGGCCCCTCTGCAGCGTGGATTACTGGTGCCTGCTCTGGTCACAGTCCTGGGTGGGCTGCAGTAGCAGTCCAGGGGAAATGCTGAACAGATCAGTCCCCAGTGGAAATAAGCCACAGAATTCCTGGTCATGTTGTGGGGGATCAGTATTTATCAGAATTCAAAAATCAGTCAGGAAGGTTTATGGGAGAAGCATCCACTTGAGGCAAAGTATGGGGAAGCCAAGCTCTGACTCAGGAAGTGCCTAAACCAGTAATCAGTGGAGACTGGAAGCAAATCCCAAGGAATTTTTGTTTTGCTTACCCTGTTCTCATACTTTGGCCTCTGTTGCTGGCAGCTGTTGGAAATGAGGCAAGCAGTGACTTGGTGAGGCAAATGCTCCATACTTGTGTGTGTTCAGAAGGTTTCATGGCAAATGCTTCACGAATGGCACAATCTTCCATCAGTATCCGCAGGTATCCTGCCTTCCCTTTCTGGCAGAAAAACGCAGAGAACCACATGGATGCAGACTGAGATGATGTGATCTGCTTATGCAAAGCAAAATGGTAAATCTGCCAGGTTATTTCTCCATGGAGAAAATTATTGACCTTGCTTTTTCTGGCATACCAGCCACCGTTATAATGATGATGATGGTGACAGCAACCAGACAGAAAGGCCAGCAGTCATTCTTTCCTGCCCATTATTACAAGGTATAAAGCAAAATCCAGCCTGTACTCAATGCTAGTCTGGCTATGCTCTCCTTACAAATACATGAGGCAGTTCTCAGACGGGTTGAAATTTGGGACTTTTCATATCGACCTTTCCAAAGACAATCCTTCTGATCCTCTGATAGGAACTTGTGTATTTCTATGTTTGTACCTTACCAGTGACATGCAGCCCAGAGATAATGTCTGAGAGCAAATATGAGAGTGTAGAACCTTCTGAGTTCCTGGGTGATTCATGTCCTTACAATACATTTTGGTTGCACATGTAAGGAGTGGATCTTGCCCCGGAGAAACTGGCTCAAAGAAGCAATAACAATGCAGTCAGTCAAAGCACCACTTTCTCTCAGAATTTTGTTGCATGAGGAAGCAGAACTTTAGCTTTCCTGTGTTTGTCAACAAGATCTGCCTTTCAGCAGCTTTCTATATTTCTGACCTGTTAGATTCTTTCCTTTATTTTCCCACCCTCTTATTTCTGTCTATCTAAATAATAATCAATAGTGTAATGATAGATTTTTCTACCTCACCCAAGATGCAAACATTGCTTGATAACATTATTTGATAACTTCAGGTCCATCAAGCAAGAATAGTAGGTGAAGTTTGCTTTTCACAAGTCCAGTGAATTTACCCAAATCAGATTTATTGTTTGCATCTTTGTGGTTTGCACCATCCATTCATGGCATGTGTCTTTTAAAGTGCTTACTTTGAAATGGTGAGTTATCCAGTTGGTGTAAGAAGGGCTGGTGTGGCTCACAGACAACCATCTGAAACGAAATTATCGTGGTGTTTCTATAATTAACTGCAAGGGTAAGTGAGGGTTGAAATGAGATGAATCATTCAATGGACTCCACTTGAAAAGTGGGAATTTTTTTGGCTCCAGCACTTTAGGAGCAGGCTAGTATTGAAAACCTGTGCAGCAAGGATCATGGCCTCAGAGCTGGCATTTCACAGTCATTATCTCAAACATCGTGGGCCAGAGATAAATGAAGCATTTAAGTCATCCTAAGCTCCTGTCCTTGCAGATGCTTTCCTTGGAGCCACTGCTTTGTTCTCTGCCCAGACTTAGCAGGATTCTCTGTGATGAGAGAGGAAGATCAAGATCTTCGTACAAGGCAGAGAAAGATACTTTTATGGGATCTGAATTGGCAAAGTAATTAGGGGGTGTCTGTGTAGCCCCAGGAGTTTGCATTTCAGTTTAGCGCTGCCCTCTGTGGTACTTGTCTCTAATGAACTCTGCTGCAAAAGCTCGCTCTGACTGGGCAGTGCAGAGGCAAAAGCCCAGGAGTGTTGGCTGCACAACTCCTTCATGTGCTCCTGGCTACAGAAGCTGCTGTGTCTCAGATAACCCACCTGATGAGCCATCTCTGATCACTTGTCAGAGCTGCTGAGAGAAGGCTCTGGTTTGTGTTCTCACACTGTTCTAAAGGCTTGACCCAGGCCCTGTGCTCCCTGTGCTGTTATCGTACTCCTTGATAACTGTTGACTGTACTGCACTTTATCTAGAAGAAATGAAAAGAAGGTACCTAAAGCTTCCAAGCAGACCAGCAGCAGCCTCCAATCCAGCTGACCTTTGTAAGTGTCCTGCTGAGATGGTGCTCATATCTGTTGTGTATGTTTTCTTTGCAGAATACACTGGAGAAGTGCAGTGTCTGTGAAGAGCCCATCATGGAAAAGATCCTCCGAGCCACTGGGAAAGCCTACCATCCCCACTGCTTCACCTGCGTGATGTGCCATCGCAGCCTGGATGGGATCCCCTTCACTGTGGATGCTGGTGGCAACATCCACTGCATTGAGGATTTCCATAAGTAAGCCTAAGCTGCTGTCAGTGCTTTGCTTGTTGTTTTTGTCTTTTGCCCCTAAACTGAGCTTTCAGGAAGCTCTGAACCTTATGCCGCTTCCTCCCAAGGCTCTTAAATAGTAGGGAGAGCTTTGCTCCAAGCAGGCATGCAATGCCATACAAGGTTAATTGGTTAGGGGATGATTCTGTTTGATCTCTGTTTTGCTTAGAGCTGAATTGAGGGATAACCTCTGTGTCCCTCTGCTTCAAGTGCTCTGCCTTCCTCTTTCTCTTCATTGACTCTACCTGCACTTTCACATCACCACCCCCCTGCCTCTTCCACTGAGCAATTAAGAAAGGTCCTGTCCTCCTGCACTCTGCAGGTGTTTGCTTACCTGCTAGAGGGATCTCAGTGGCCACAGGCTGTTCACGGCTCCTTTTGTTTCTAGTGGCTAATTAGCTTTTTAAAGCTACTAAAAATACAGCCCTGGTAATAATTTATAATGAAACTGCTATTTAAAGTAAGTTGAAAGGTATAGCTGCAAGTAATTTCTGTCACTGACACACTACCACCCCCATCATCACAACTAATCTAGGGAAGACAGGTAGATATAATCAGAGCACAAATGTTTGCCCTGTATGGAAAAGACAGATACATTACACCCCTCAATTAAAAGATGAAATCAATACTGACAAATGTGAGTTTATATCTCAACCATTTACCTCTTAATTTCTAAGCAGGTAGACTTAATTAGAGCCTCATGACATCAGTGTGTGGGTCTGAAAGCTCAAAGAAGCTGACTGATTTGACAGAAAGGGAAGCAGCCACAATTAACTGGCATGTTAGAATCCAACAGCAGGATGTTCCCTGTAGCTCAGCTAGGCTGGGTTAATTGGCAGCTGCTGTGCTGCTTTGCCTTTCTGTGCCACCAGTTGTGTGTAAGGTAAAATATGATCCTGAGCACAGGCCCAACAGGAGTTTTATGCACCACTCAGTCACCTGAAGGTTTTCCCTCACACCCCCTCAACAATTTGGAGAGTGCCCCTTCCCAGAGCCGCTTTCAGGAGAGCTGTCCCACACTGAAGCTTTTTGGCAGTGACTGCCTATGGACCTCGGGGCTCTGAGAGTGGCAAGTGGGAGGCTGTCAATGCAAGGAAGGACATAAAAATTGTTGAGTGAAGGATTGAGGGGAAGGTGGTGGGAATAGCACAGGACCCAGTGTGACACTCAGAATGTCTTTGGCCAGCCACACATTTTGCAGTACTTTGACCAGCCCAGTTTTAATTGATTAGGGATGACATGTCCTCCTGATCTGGAGGTTGAGTGTTCTACATCTACATCTTCTAGATAACAAAACTGTAGCTGATGCTCACACTGTTACTCAGCTACCCCCTGAGCTCAGGCCCCACAGTAAGAGATCTCCATCCCCTGAAATCTGCAGGAATTATGTCAAGATCCTGAGAGATAATATTTGTCTCATAATGAATTACTCACATTAGCCTGAATAAAGAAATGTTGAAGTATTTTTTAAGTACCACGTTTGAGCTAAATGGCACAAGGAAGGGCCTGCATGAAGCAGCACGTAATTAATTGCCATCATAGCTCTGGTCATATCATGATCCATTTAAGTTATTTTTCAGAGCACTCGTTATAGCCACTGTTTAATTCATTCTTTCATTAGATCACAGCTACACAGGCATCTTTCATCTGGTGCCAGTGAAATTAATATTTTTCTTTATTCCTAGTACAGATAGATTTTTTTTTTTCTTTTCTAAGATAGTTAATTCTGAGGTGGTTCCTGTGACAGGCTGGGTGGCAGAGTCAATCCTTACTAGGCATTTTAGAAGAGAAGGGCCTTTGATCTCCTTGTGTTCTGATGTTTGCCATAAGCTTTGCCCCCTGTCACTCCACAGCTCCTGACCCTGGCTCTTATTACATGGCAGCAGATTCTGTGGGTGTAAGTTCCTTCTTGCAGGCAGAATTTACAGCCAGGAAACTGGTACCAGTAGATTTTGAACTAAAATAGAGAATGATTCACCACAGGCCAAATGTTCCCAAGCCTAGGAGCAGAGGTGGCCACTTCTTGTGGGACCTGAGGGGAGCAAAACTAGAGGGAATACAGAACAAGGGTGAATTGTCCAGAAGGGCATACGGTAAGCAATAGGAGGGAAGAAGAAAGGACTGTGCTTCTCTTGGTCCCTGAGATGACCCTGATGCAGGTCAGCCTCTTCATCCAGTGAGATATTGTCACTATAAAATTGGAAGTCAGGCCGACTGGAAGAGAGAACATTGGGGTCTCTGCACCTAGACCTTTTGCCTTGTAAGTCTGGACAACACCCTGTTGGGTAACTGAGCTGCGTTTACCTAGGAGATGAAGCACTTCAAAATGCAGTCAGGGCATTAGAATTGCCCTGATGCTTCCTGTCTGAGAGTGAGCACAGCCAGAAATGTGCTTCTATGTGCATAAGTGGGTAAGGTGGCTTGAAAGTTTAAACTAGATGACATAAACCTCAACAAAATAGTGTTGGTGCAAGGCAATTCTTTTTACCATTTCTTTTCAGACTTTTAAACTATTTGTTCTAATCTCCAAATTTTAATAGTTTGATTTTTGTTTTCAAGAGATGGTCTTGAAGCAGATCCTGGTCATCTTCCTAACCTTGGGATTTGCATAGATTTTCTTAGAAGCTGAGGCTTGTGGCAGTGCTTAGGTGCCACTGTCGAGGGTCATTCAAAAGGCACTTTAGTTGTTAATTAGGGCAGGCAAAATGCTTTGCTGCCTGACAGAAGTTCTGTAAGTCCTTTCCTAATAAACGTTCTTTAATATTCTACATGCCTGAAATTGCCTTGTAAGACTAAAGTGCTACTGCCTGTTTTTTTCCAAGGAAGGAGCTGTGCAGAGCTCCAGCCTGTGCTGTGTGTGCACATACATGTGTGTGTGTTGGCACAAACTCACACATTCTGGCTGGCTGGTGTAGTTAACAAAAACTTTTGCTCCAAGTTTGAGGATGACTGTGCCTGTCTCTTGCTCCCTCAGGAAATTTGCCCCCAGGTGTTCTGTGTGTAAGGAGCCCATCATGCCAGCCCCAGGACAAGAGGAGACCGTGCGCATTGTTGCCCTGGATCGTGACTTCCATGTGCAGTGCTACCGGTGCGAGGTTGGTATTCCAGGCACGGCAGGGACAGAAAGCAAGGGTCGGCTTAACTTCATCACCACCTCATGTTGCCCACATGGCAGGCAAACCCTATTGTAACACTGGCTCTACAGTCAAATTACTTCGTTGACTTCAGCAAGGAAGGAATTTTTCCTCATTTATATCCATGCAAATGAGAGGGAAATCTGGTTCCTTGTTTATAACAGGTTCATTAGAAGAGCAAAAGAATGTGACTCAGGCAATTAAGGCTTAATACTGGAGAACTTCATCAATTATTGCCTGGACACAAACGTAGCTCATCTTTATGTTCTTAAAATGAAAGCTAATGTATGTTAGGATTTGAGCAAGATTGTAGAGGAAACTCAGCATATGGGTTGAAGAATTTTAATAGACATATAAACATGATCATTCTTGTTTTGTGCAATGCTTTTTGTGCTACTTTTTCTGTTCAGTTTCATTACACACTTCATGTAATTTTGATGGTAAGAGTCTGAAGACAGAGAATAAAAATCACCTTAAAGCAATTAGCATGTGGGAACAGCTGTGTTAGGGAACCTTCAAGAATTCTTCGGTGCTAGTGTTACTTGTTGGATAATACATCAGCCAGATGGCAGGGTAAAAAAATGAGACCAAATATATTTCATATTGCAGTTGCAGGTTTTAATAACCTTAATTGGAAAGAAGGATGGACTAAGGTTTAAAGGTCTAGGCTGAAACTTGAGGCATCTGGTTCAATTCTCAATCTGACCTTGGCTTTCAGGGTACGTATCAGCCCATTACTTAGGCACATTATTTTTTAAGATGCTGGAGCATTCTTACACTAAATTTTGTAGAGCCTAATTCATCATACAGCATGTCCCCATGCTGGCTGCTGAGATACCCAGGCTTTCATACACAGGGATCCATCAGCAGTCCTGGGCCAAGCAATTGCTTGATCATGAAGTGTGGGATAATTCCCAATTTTCCTATCAGCTATACTCAGCCTTAAAGCTTATAGATTGAGGTCTCTGGAGCAAGTCTGGGGGCCTTGTAGTGGGGTTTCTATGCTCCTGTCTGACATCCTTCTTTTTGCCACAACCTTTTTGGCCAATTGTCATACAAACACAGGTGACAGTTCTGGTAAGGGACTTCACTTAGCTGCCACCCCCAGAATGGAGGCTGTAACTTCATGGCATTAACTCTTCCAAAGGAGATTGCCTATAGTCAGATATTGGTACTAAACTTTTTCCCAGTGATGCTTTTTTTTTATCCTTTTTTTGAATTAATAAATATGTGCTTCAGTTTGATGTTTCTCCAATGCTAAAGACCTCTGCTTCCTCAGAAATGTGAAGGGAATAATCTCCTTTTATTTTCAATTGGATTAAATTCAGCAGAGAGCTTGGGAACCCATCTTCTCTGCAACATTGTCTCTTATCAGAAAATGGCTTAATCGTAAAAGACATCACGTACCTCAGCTTCATGCTTTACACTGACTCAGGCTGGATTCTGTTACAAGGTGGAGAGTGAGGAGAGAGTTTCTTTGACTAATAGATTCTTTCTTATTTACTTTGCTCTTCCTGTTCACTTATTTCCTAGGACTGTGGTGGCCTCCTGTCTGAAGGGGACAATCAGGGCTGTTACCCTCTGGACGGGCACATCCTTTGCAAGACATGCAACTCTGCTCGGATCCAGGCTCTGACTGCCAAGGCCAGCACTGATCTCTGAGTAACAGCTGTGACCCTCCCCAGGATGCCCATTGGGGGATATTGCACAAGCTTTGCATGATTGCTTTCCAGCCTAGGGTCTGAATCTCTGTTATTGAAAAAAAGAAAAAAAAAAAAAAAAAAAAAAAAAAAAAAAAAAAAAAAAAAAAAAAGAAAAAAAAAAAAAAAAAAAAAAAAAAAAAAAAAGAAAAAAAAAAAAGGAAAACTGGAAGGCCTTGGAACAAGAGGGCAGTTTGAGAGGCCATGTTCAGACTGCCCATGACAAGCACCTAATTTAGACACAACTGTCCAGGAGGGCAGTGAGTGAGTCAGAGCACCTGCTTTGTCTGTAGCTGATGGAGTTAAGGGTGACAGCACCTAAGTTATCTGCCTGTATAAGGAGGTCTGAACATGGTCCTTACCATTCTGTGTTTGATTACTGTTTCTTAAGAAATACATGAAGGTAGAGGGTGAAGTATGGCTGAAGTAGTTATTGCTCCCAAGTTATTTTGAGAACCTGAGCAGCTCTCATTGAAGTCATGGGGCTTCAATGTCTGCTGATGACTTTAATAGGATCTGTGTCACCAGCAGAAGTAGCTCCACTGTCCTCGAAGGTGTGAGAGCAGACCCAGCATTAACACAAACAGTTCAACTGCAACTGTACTGCGCCTGAGTGTAGGTGTGATTTTGTATCCTTGGGACATAAATTGCTCATTTCTTAGGCCCTTGCTTGTCTCCATTCCCTCCCAGTTCAATAGTGTTTTTCTTTTACTCATGAAAGTCTACTTAGCTATTGCATAAATTTATTCAGTAGTGATGCTTCCAATTCACAATGTATGAGCAATCACAGAAAGATGTGAGCTTGCACACACTGTACACTACACACACACTACACACTACACACACACAACTTGCTTTTGATTTACCAGAGACATAAGCCAGTCATGTCCCTTGAGAAGATATCTAAGGGATGTGGGTCTAGAAACACATTTCTGAAATCCCAGTGGTTAAAAAAAGATAAAAATGACTATATAGAACTGCAGTGCAAAGCGATGCTCAGAAAAATCTTACGCCACTCTCTTCTACAGCCCATTCTAGTGGGACCACTGGCAGTGTTGGTCTCTGGGTAGACATTCAAGCAATAAAGTCTTTTTCCATCTCCTGTTATTGCAGTGGGAGGATTTTCCTTCAACAGTAACAGGGATTGAATCAGGCTTTGGGATGATACACATTTCTCTGATGTTAACACATGTGATCTGAATTTTTAAATTTAAAAAATAAGGTCTTGGTTTCAACAACAGCAAAAGAGATCATCATAAATACATGTTCAGTTTTCATCCTAAGAAAGCTAAAGAGGGTATTAAGCCCTTCACTATGCCATTCCAGAAAGCAGGCTTTTTTTTTGCCTCTTCCATTTTCATCCCAGCCACTTTTAACTTGCCTCTGTGAAACGCATGGCAGTAAAGTGCTGGGCCAGAAGCAGCATTTTCATCTTCAGTCCAGAATTAATATATATCCCAAGGTAAATAAAACCTGGGCACAGATAATCCTTTTTTTTCACATGATCATGGGTTTAGGGTTTCTTTGGGTTTTTTTTAGTTTGGGTAATTAAAAACAAATCAAAAAATTAGAAATCCATGGCATTCTGAGCAGCTATAATAGTCTTGTTCATGAAACCCATAATAACTAAGGTGCAAATTACATAGTGAGGGAGTAATTTTCATATCACTGAATTGACATTAATATCTTATTTGCAGATGTAATCAAGGAAAATACCTTTCTTTGCGCTTAAATTAAGAAGGAGAACTGAAATAGTTGCAAGCTGATTGACCATATAAGTGACAAAATGTAACTTTTCAAGAGTAAGTTATAAGATTTTTTCATGCATCCCACTGAAGAGCAATAAAAATGTGGTACTTTTTTCTTTGTATCAAGCTTCTGTTATAGAGAATAATTATATCCACTAATGCTGAAAAGAAAAGTTAGATGAACTGAACTTATAGGAAATGAAGGAAAAATTGTGATGTGATACTGCAGCTCCTGCATATGGTGCATTTCTTTTTAGTTTAGCACTAACCTTTTTGGAAGAGCACTGTGATATTCAGTAGCTTCAGCTCTCTGTGGTAAATTCAAATACAGAAATACCAGTCTGAAACTTCCATTCCTTGCATGGTTTATATATTGGCAAACTTCACCAGTGTCAGGGAAGTTTCCCAAAATTCACAGCTTGAAATGAATCCTTCTTTGTAGAAGGGTGGCATCATTGAGCAGAAGACTTCCTTCACCACCACAGCGACTGTGCTGAAGCAGTTTGACTTTTTATACTGGATTTCTTCCCTGGCCTGTAAGAATGTTACTGCCTCAGACATAAACAGATTTTTTGGCACCCTGGCTCCCACCAGATTCCACCTGGGCTCCCGCTCTTTGAACTGTGGCATGTAAGGTCCTTCTGAGCTCGCTTCTTGACATACAGTGTGCACCACCACCAGTCCAAAAAGCCTTGCAAATACTGAGCAAATCTGGTTTGAGCTAACACTACAAAAACAGGGGAGGTCAGTGCTAGAATACAAGCACAGGTGATAATGTGATGCATTTGGGTGCAGAAGGAGCCATTAATCAGGCAGAAAACATAGCTCTGATCTTCCTTATTCTTGGGAGTGATAAATCAAGTCTCAAGATGAGACTCTGCAGAGGTAATTGATGGGAACAAGCTGCTGTGCCTTCCAGCAGAATGTGGCCTAGACTAAGGACTCAAGTTCAGAGCCTTTGGGCTTTTTATGGCCCTGCCATGGGCTGGACTGGAGCAGTCCTTGTCCTCTGCCCTCTGCATGAGAGAGCTTCTTTGCAGTTTCCCAGAGACATTATGGGGATTAAACTAGTCACAGACTAGCACAAACTACTGAATTCTGGAGCTTTATTTTCTCTTTCCAGAAAAGTTTGCTGGTATGTAGACCTGGGATTCCAGCCCATTTCAATGCATGCGGCCAGCCAGGAGATCCAGCTCTGAATCCTCTCTGTTATGAGAGTGCTGTGGTGAGTTGGGCTGGCATGCAGGGAGGTGAGAGCCAAACTTTTCAAGCATTAAATATTTCATGGATGAAATATGATTGACAAAGATTGAAGTGTTGATGTTTGAGGTGCTGTGGCTGGTTTCTAGACCTGACACATCTGTGCAAAGGTACTATGATGGGAGTTTTTTCACCCCTAGACACTAAAGCCATCTGCCCATTGGAAGGAGGGAGCATCCAAAACCCTCTTCTTTATTCTGTGTGGTTTTGTTTTCCAAAATTGCTATAAATATATTTAAAAGATACAGTATCACAGAGGCTCTCATCACCCACATGTATATGGAAATCTCCCTGCTGATGCTTCAGGATTTAATAAGAAATGCTGGTGGGATTTATCTCAATTGCACTGCAATTAAGAACTATTGGGATATGGCTTCATCACAATATTTATCACATACTTATAATATATCATGTTTATCTGTTCCAAAGAAGGAGTTGTTTTGCCAAAGAGACATTGCTTTTCTCAAGTTGGACCTTCTTAACCATGACAAAAATTCACATCATCTGTGGCTGTGATAATGTCCAAACTGTTCCTTTCAGAAAGAATTGGAAGATCACCCAAACATTTCTGTTCAAGTCTGCAGTTTCTGCTTATGCTGCTTTGTCTACCATTTGTTGGCAAGTCGGGCCTGATCCCATGATTTGTGTGGCCAGACAGGGCCCAGGATCAGGTTCTAATTTAGCAAAATATTTAAGTCCCTGAGGTTTGTTTAAGCACAGACTTAAAGCCATTGCATGGTGTGACATAAGCCATTAATACCAGACTGGTTCTGTGTCCCCTGATCGTACAGGTTTGATCTGGGTAAGATGTAGGCACAGTTAAATTTCTATCCAATTGTCCAGAACACAGGAAATGGCTCCTGTGTCACTCTTATGCCAACTGCAGGAGATAACCACAGCTGATCAAATTTACATTTGGATGGCAGGAGGCTGAGTTGTTACAAGATGAGTGCTTTGTGTTGGGTGGTTGTGACACCTTCCATATGTCACAAGTAGCCCTACAGCCAGATTTACTGTATCTTTGAGCAATGGCTTTAAAACTCTCTACTTAAACTTTCTCCAGGAGAGTGGGTTGCCTTGGTTACAGCCCAATCCTTAAGCACATCCCCAAGGCTAACACTAGAATTTTGTGAATGTGATGGTTTTATTGTACCTTTTTTTATTCATTGAACGTTGCTTTTAAAAACAGAAAGCCACACCAATTCTTTAGCCTATCAGATAACACACCTTTAATTTTGGTTTTGGGAGGGGTGTTAATATTTTAATTCTTAGATTTTTATCCTGGCTGCAAAACACTTGGGTAATGACTTAATCACAGAAGTGTGGGAGTACCAAAGTGTTTGTCACTCTACATAATAGTGTTCATCCTGATAGCAGGAGTGAGGCTTTCACAAAACACAGGCCTTAATTTGACTTTCTGCCTGTCAGCAAAATGTGCCTGAGAATAAAGAAAAAAAAAATGTCTTTAAAGAAAAGATGCTTGTTAAAGAGAATATACCACAAGTCTGTCTGAAATCTCTTTGGACCTGTTACGGCTTCTGCCTGGCTTAGGTTTGATAAATGCTGGTTCCTTTTGATTTTGGGAAAATCTGGAAGGCAAGGGATAACAGGACCCAAGAGAAGGTTCTTGAGAGAAGTCCCATGTCAAGGATAAATGTGAGACACCTGGTGCTTGCACTGAGTGGCTCAGGAAGAGTTTGAGTTGCTGCCTGGTATCTGATGGTGTCTGGTTCCTGTAGTGGTGTCACAGTGGTGATTTGCTGTGGACAACACCTCGCACAGATTCAGTGCTCCAAGCTGGAGCTCTTGGAGAGGGGTGCTGAACCATCCCACTGTGGTGAAATCCCTGTGGGAAAACACCAGCGATGGTAACTGAGGGTTTGTTGTAGAAGGAGGACAGGAACTGCTCCATAAACCTAGAGGTTAGTAAAATACAGACCAAGAGAGCTGTGAGAACACTATTTCCAGTTAGAGCTGGTTGCAATTTTTACACTAATTATGTGATAGCAGAAGGGCCATTTTTTTAATGAGAAGTTCTCTCTTTTTGCAATGTTACCCACA